GAACTCCTTCCAAAAATACTTGAAAGGTCACAGGCACATGTAAACTAGCACTTTTGATACTTGTATGAAATAAAAAATGCTTTTTGGGAAGAGTGTATAAGTTTTCCTTCCTGCTTGCTTTCAAGCAGATTCCAGCACCCCTTGCTCCTTCACAGAGCTGTTATTTGAAGGGTTTAGAGTTCACACGGATAAGTGCATCTGAGAACTGTATTCTGTACTTCATGTGAAGGTTGGAAAGTACATTAGACCCATGCATGAATAAATCAGTGCAGTATTGCTTGTCCCTCATAGTGCTGTCCACAGAAAAACCATTATCTCCTCACTCCTATGAAACACACGGTCTGTAATCCTGGAATTTCTGCAAACACATTCTGAAACCACTGTCCCAGAGAGGATGTTGTGTTGAGACAGAAAGGTTAAAAAAAAAAAAAAGAATGAAAGAAAGAAAAGAAAAGTACAGTTTCCCTACCATGACAGGCCTGGGAAGCTAACACCTTCAGAAACGTCAGAGGCAGTGTTCCTCGTGCTCTTCCTCCTGTGGTCTGCACTAGCTAAAAGTAGTAAGGGAACATCATGTTACTTTCCATTTAATAAGAGGAAAAAGAACTGTAACACAAAAGAAACTAAAATGAGGAAAAGATAGTGGATTATCTAGTCCACCTCTCTCGTTTGAGGCTTAGCACACTTACTCCCTTTGGTTCATGCAGTGAGCTTTGCATTGTTACAGTCAACTTTAGAAGCAGAGAGCAACTCACCTCAACTTGTTCTTGAATAAGCTCCTGGAAAGACAAAGGTAGTATCATCAGTTGCTATTTCTCCCTTTGATTGCCCATACCCTGCTTTGTCCACATCTGTGTGTAATTTACTGTGAAACTGCCAGAACCAGGAAAAATGTTGCTGTTGCTAGTACACTGACCACAGTGTGAAAGATTTAGGTGCAAGTCCTGACCTCTCACAAGTATCTTATCAAAACTGTAGACTAATCACTTGCTTTCTCTCTGCATCAGTTTCCTATCTGTAGAATGCGTATAACAGAACTGTTCTGCCTCACAGTGCAACAAATACATGTTATCTTTGAACAGCTGCCCTTTCTTCTTTGGACAATAGTCCTGTGGATTTCATTTCTGGTGTCTAAAATGCAATGAATTCATAATCTACCACAAATAGGCGCTACCAGTCCTAACTAAAATAAAAACGACCACAGAATAGATCTGTTCATGAGATCTTGAGGCATCAGCTGAGTGCTCATGAGGCACAGACCTGATTCCCTCCTCCACCACTTTTCTTGGCTTCCAAATCAGACCAGAAGAGTGCATTTTGCGTTCTTCCTGTTTATAGCAAGGTTGGAAAAGAAAATTGCATCAGATTAATCATCTTCTCTGTTTCTTCTCTTCATATCAAGAGATGTACAGCGAGACTGGACTGATTCACAATGGCTCAGCCTACTGGCTGAAGATGGTACTCTAGAAACAATTTTTAAGGAGTGCTTGAAGCTGTTAACGATTGTGGAGAACTGTTTACAATGGAAACCGCAAGTAATCAGTTCAGCAATTTCTTCCTCAAACTGCAGAACATCTGGAACAGCAGCTTTTAGAAAGCTGCACTGCCCATGTAGAGATTTCATTAAAGCAACTTTAAATCCTAACAAAAATACTTCTGTATCAGCAATATTAATAATTTTAGTGTTCATTCAAGCATTTACCGTTCATTCAAGCATTCATGAGCAGTAAGCTGTTGAAGCATCTGCACTACATACTACTTTTCTTAGCTTCTCCACTACTCCAAGTCTGAAACAGTCTCTTACTGTTTCCGTTATACTTCAGGGATTTCAGTTGTGGGACTATTTAGCTACTAAAAGGGATGGCACCCACATTTGCCAAGGGACTTCATTGTCTCCCTCGTAACAGAGATACTTTAATACCCTGGGCTATTAACACAGAACAAGATCCAGTATCACAATTTCACCCATATCCACAGCTGACCTCCACGATACTTTTAGTGACAGGTTGCCTTTTCCGTCGTAATTCATTGGCTTCTCTTTCTATAAAACACAGTGGCACTTTCTTCACTAGAATCAAGGAGCTGTTGGTCTCAGGAAATGATAATTCAAGACCCAAGTCCTCCAAATTTTTGTAGCAGCAACTGAGGAAAAAATAAAAACAGAAATCACATCAACCACAGTAGCTATATCTCCACAGCATATGCAAGTATTTCTGTAGTCCCCATGTATGTTTCTTCCTGCAGTTTCCAATCTCAAAATCCATGCATCATGAGATTCCAAGTAATTTTGTGCTTTCAGCCTGCATTCAGCCATGTTTTTTCACTCTTTTTCAATCGACTGTGCATATATCATGTTCCACAACCACAAGATCTAATAGTTCGTGTATTATGTGGGGAGAAGCTTTATGTCTAAATTTATAAATCCATCTTTTCTAAAGATGCACGAGGTGTTTGGTTCAACACACAAACACTCCAAATATTGAAATTACGCAGCATAAAGACTCCTTTAAGTCTAACCTAAAAAAATGTTGGCAGTTGACATATAATAACAAATACTGACAACGGAAAAAAATACTGTAAAAAATTTATGCTGGTCTAATGAACTTTATATCCTACTAAGCAAAGAGAATCCAGAAAAGAACAACCTCTGGTGAATCTGACATATGTCACCCTGTGGATGGAAAAATACACACGAAAACAGGATTTCACAGTCAGATGAGAACTTGTCTTCAAAATGAAAACAACTGTAACAATATATAGTTTATGTTATTAACTCCAGGAATATTCACTTAAAACAAAGGTGTTGGAGGTCAATTTTAGAAAAGAGATTCATTGAACAAAAAAGAAGCTAATCTAAACTTACTAAAATCAGTCAGGATAATAATACAATTATTAGCCTCCATATGGAGATGGCTTGTGTAATTCTACCCAAAAAAAGAAGACATGTATAGCCTTCAGCAACAGCAGAAAAAGACAGAAAAAGCCCATTGTGGTGAAATGACAGAATCCAAGCAGCTATTGAAGTTAATTAGGCCTTTTTTTTTTTTTTAAGGGGGAAAAAAAAAAAGGAAGTTCAAGAGAGTCAACAGAACAATGCATTACTACAATGCCTAGTAGACAAATAACAGAATCAAAGCTGCAGGTGAACCAGAGGTCCAGCTGAACTATTAAATAGCAAGCAGAGCTGAAGAGAAAGGTCTTTTAGGGAAGTTAACTTATTTCATTACATCGATCTTTACCACAGAACACAGTCATATTCTGCCAGCAACAGTAACAACAGAATTTAGATTTTTTACATAGTACTTTTAATTCGTAACTTTTTAGTAAGGATAGTCTCACAGAGTGATTGCAAAGACACAAACTGCCAATAAATAGTGATAAAGAGCAACACAATAAAAGCACTGGTAAGACAGCATCAGTATATGTCAGCACCAGTAAGCTTCTTTAATCAATTATCTTAAGTGATAACTGAAAATCACAACTGGCATCCCACTGTGCTGAATAATTTAACCAGCGTCCTTAAAAGAAAACCATGCCTCTCTGATTTACTTTATCTTACTGATTTTTGTAGTATGTTTGTGATATAGCTAATGAAGAAAAGTAGCTCACAGAATTTATTTAGTCTTTCGAAAAGCCTTTGATGCTGTCTCTTAAAAGTGGCTAGAAATGCAAATGCAAAAAAGTAGTCATGGATAGAAAGTAACATTTGTCATGATATAGAGACTATAGAAAAAGGTATGCTGGCAACAGTTGGTCAATGTTCAACAGGACGTGAGTCCTGATCTGTATCTTCATAATTGTTTATTAATGACGTGGAAAAGAAGGGGCATGGTCAAGCAGGAAAATTTGTAGAAAACACCAAATGATTTAGGTTAGCTGAGACTAAACATGTCGTTGAACTCAATTAGAACTTAAAACAAGTAGAAAAATGATGAACGAAATCAGTAGGATGAATTGAAAAGGTATAAAGGAAAATGGACGAACAAACCGAACTCACTGCTCCTCCTAAAGACAAATAAATGCACGTTATCAGGAGTAATTTGATTTATTTGTACATTTTGTTGGCTTCTACATAAATAGCAAAAATTTAAAAAAACACCACAACTCTGTGTTTCATTGTCATGACCATTCAATAAACAAGCAGTTCATGCAAGCAGCAGCAGCCAAAAAAGCAGATAAAATATCAGGTGTGGCTATAACAGACAGAAAACACGGGCACAACTGCAAAACTACTGTACAAATCACTGAGATACCCTCACTTGGTACCCTGTATTCAATTTTGGCCGCTCAGTCTCAAAAGTAGATACATCAGAAATCGAAGACACTCCAAGATGAGTGCAAAAATAATTCAAAGTCAAACAAGAGGCATTAAAAATATCATGATGTTAGCAAGAACATCACTGAGAGGTGGGAACAACAAAGGCATCCAAATATTACTGAACTATGAACAGCAATGGTTACGTTCTCACATTTTTTCCTAAGGCAAGTGGAACATAATAGTGCTTTACACTTTCCTTTGGAATTTCTGGTATTGGCCATCATCACACAAAAGAGTTACCAAACGGATACAGCAGTGAAACTGTTATGATTGGAATACACTCAAAAAGGGCCTTACACCAAACAAGTGTATCCCTATAATAGGCAATAATCTTAAAGGAATGATTTCAAAAGTGTCAAGTTTGTCACAGGCATCACAAAAAGAGCAGTTTAAGAATAACGAGGTAGTTCTGTGAATGTTAAGATAGAACTTCATCTGAAAATGAAGAACAATGCAGGGAAAAAAACCTCACAAATGTATGTGGCAGGTGACAGACACGGATTTTGAGGAAAAAAGCTTGATTAGTGTCCAATAGGTCTGCAATAGTCCATAAACTCTTGCAGTACAAAAGTTAAATATCCTAATAGTTAGGCCACCATTCTGAAACATTTGGGAAACAGTGCTCATTAGTTACTCTTGGCAGGCACCTAGGATTAAGGAATGTGTTTTTGAAGGATTCACAATACAAACTTTGATATTCCATCCTGCTCTTCTCAAACAGTGCCTATTAAACCAGTGACTAGATCGACACCATGAGCATTGCACTCTGGTGTGCGCTCCCAAGTCCTGAGCCCTAGACAGTAGGATCTGTTGGAGACTGCTTTGCCACTCTTCTGGCCCATACATGAAGGTTTACTTTCCCAGGGAAACCACAGCACATTGCAGAAGCACAGAGATGGAATGCCACAGGGTTTTGTCTTGGGCAGTTATAACGACGTGCCTGAGAAGCACACCTGTTTTTCCTCAGCACAGAAACAGCCGACTGGTCTCAACTCATGGTTACCTGGCAATATATAGAGATCTGCCTGGTCAACAGAGCCGTCTCCAAATGTTTAGAGCTACTGGCCATTACTCACCGTAGAAATCTTCTTTGTTCTTCTGTAACTTCAATCTCCAAAGGGGGAGAGATGGAGGAGGACAGTAATTTCTTCTTGCCACATGCTGCAGCTTCCTTCTCATAGGAATCTGTGAATGAATCATTTAGAAGTATCCTCTCTTAGAATATTTACGCAGGCATTACCCTTAATGACCCTATGGTTTGGCATGTAGTCCTCTGTTTGGATTAAAAAGTGACCACAGAATGCCTTCTCCTGAAACTTGCAGAGGACTGGGAATGTCACAAACCAGACTTCTAGTCTCTGGGGACAGGCTGGTTAATGGCACTTCAGTTTTTCCCACCAGTTCCAAAAAAGAATCACCCTAAATAGCAAAAAAAATCTACTGATATATTTAATCCAACTCACAGAGAGCAATTTTTCCACATAAAAGACTGATATAAATGACATTAAAATACTATTCATTAAGCATTTCTCCCTTCAGTCTTAAACTTTTTTCAGTACTTGACCAAAAGGAGCAGAGTTCCTGGAACGCTCTCTGCAGAAACTGCCCAGTATTTACTGATGAAAGAGAAGGTCAGTGATTTTTAAGTACTTGATGGATGGCTATTGTGCTTTTTAACACTGAAACCAATGGCTAATGAGCTTACAGAGAAGACCATTATCCCTTTGCAAACAGTTTCAGACTGTGGAAATTTTAGGCTTTAAGTACAGTATCCAGCTAAAAAAGAATCAGATGAACTATGCTCTTTACTCTGCACCTATGTTTTATTCTTCACAGCATAACCACATAATCTTATTGATGTTGTTCTATTTCCTCCTCATTGTTTTTCCTATCAGTCTTCCTGCTCTTTTGTTATGTCAGAGCTATTTTAGTTTGATAGTTCTGTGGGTAGGGAGTGTATCTTCTATTTTTGGAAATGCTGTAACAATTTTCAGCTACCAATACTATGACTGCTACAGATACTTGAATGTCTGCACTCTGCTAGAGATTAGGATAAAGATGACAAATGAATATCCTGTTGGTTCCACACATCCCAGATTTATCCTGACAATAAGTTAGTCAGCAAGCTTTCCCTTTCAGACAGCTTGTTTGCACTTTTCTGTGCACTATCTTTCTTCCGAAGACCATCTGAAACCTCACCTGCAATAAGCTGCTCCAAGCGGATCCGTTCATGAGCTGCATGTTGGTCCACCAAAATCAAGAGGTTCCCATCTGAAAGTGTACCACAAGAGATGAGAAATAGGCAACTTTGTACCAGATAACTGCACAGGTTGGGAAGAATGACCACTCTTTAAAGGCCACATTTAGAAGATAACTACCGGCCAGTTTTACAGAAATAAAGTGAGGAGGAGGATATGTTGGCAGAACATAAAGTCACTACAGAACAGAAATTTAGTGATCCAAACTGGCATTTAAATTAAAGTAATTAGATTGAGTCAGAACCTCTTGTCTACTGACATCTTCATCTAACTTCAGAATGAGAGCTGAGGTCACCCACAAACTGTTCTTTTTAACGTGGTCTTTAAAAATGTTACAAAAACTACTGGGTTTTAATGCCTTTTTTGTACAGCTTCAGCAAGCTTCACCAATGAACATGTCCAGACACTGTGAACGGAGTCTGAAAGATGTTAGTAATTTGAGTACAATCTATTTTTATAACACTAATCTAAAGGCAGTAGGAACATTCAACAACGTCCAAAATAAAGATAAAGAAGATCCAGGAAATTTCAAGTGAAGACTAACATTTTCCTCTACTCACAATATCATCCCAAGGCAAGAAGAGAATACAAATAGGACAGTGTTCCCTCTGCAGTCTAACTGGACTTGACAGCCGCCTCAACTTCATGTTAATAACCACTCTTACCTGCTTCTTTATCCATTTCATTCCTAGTGTTGATTAAACAAGCGATAAATTTATTGTCCACTTGCTGAAGAACCTGTAAGACACTCAGAAAAATCATTACCCACTTTTAAAATGAAGCTAAACAAAAGAAGATGACAATCAAAACGGATCAAGTGCAACAAATAGCTAATAGGATGATTAGGAGAGCAGAAACCACATCTTTTCTAAACCCAAAGGCTTAAAGAATTTAGCCTAGCAAAACTGAGACTGAGAAGGTACAGAATTATTGTTCATAAATACAGTGGGAGGCTGAATATGGAAAAGGCAGCAATTATTTAAGCTAAAAGACAACACTGGCAGAAGGTTAAATGACCATAAATCGCTCATGAAACAGTTTAGACTGGAATTAAGAGAAAGTTTCAAAGTATCCAAGAAAATAATTCTGGATCAATTCTTTCAAAGAGAGTCACAAGGGCAAGAGCTCTACTTGTTCTAAAGTGGAGCTGGAAATTCACAGAATGGATTAAATGCTCATGTAGAAGACTCCTTTAATTGGGAATTAAAGCTGTGCACAGTAACTCTTGAGTATTTGACTTGCCAAAATCACCAAAAGAGAATGTAAAAAAAAAAAAAGCCTTTTTAACCTGTCCTGTGTTTAAGGACTTGTGCTGATCACCTGTAGGAGCCAGGAAGCATTTTTTTCCCTTCATTTTCTGATGTAAAATTTGCCTCTGTGGCTTGATTCCACCCTCCCCTCTAGCATCAGAAATCAAGCAGAGCTACAGGGAATACCGAGCAGGGACGCACAATGCTTTCAGTATCTTATTTTAGATTTAAATTAACAGATGTAGAGTTAGAGAAGAATTTCTCCCCAAGTCACATAGATAGAGCTCACTGTGAATTCTCTGTCTCACAACATGTGCCTTGATGATCTCCTAGGTAAAAACGAATAGATGATTCTGTTCCTTTGCAGGGATGCAAGACATTAATGACTCTTTTTATGGTGCTTTTGGTCTTTTCTACAGAGATTCTCAAAATTGCTACAGGGTACTGAAGGCAGTATTTAGCTTTACCTTCTTAAAAACATTATGCAGGTTAACTACAGAACCACTCAGTAAGTTTTAAAGAACAGTTCTTACTATGAGGAGTGAACAGAAAAATGGTACCTTCCATTTTCCAGCTTTTCTCTCATCTTTTTGAAACATAATCTGTTTACTGTAATAACTTTATTTACTCCTGTTATTCTTGCAAACACAACATAAGTAATGGAATCATTTGGATCCTTGTCCACTCTGGAGATCAACATTACCATGTCCCACACGGTCAGAACCTGCAATCTCAAAGCCAGCAACCTGATTGCATGAGAATAATGCTAACTGGGCCTGTAAACCTTTTGTAATCGGGATGCAAGAGGGAAAGAACTCACTTTGGCATTTCTACCCAGGCAAAACATCAAAGAATGTAAGTTGAAGCTATATACATTTACATTAGCTTTTAAGCTAACATTCAAAACATTTGATAAAGCAGCACTAAAACAGTTAAACTTGATGCTATGATGCTGTTTTTAAGAATCATGTTTCAGAGCAGACATAAATCTTAAAGTGAAATTTCAAGTCTTTCAATGAAATCTGGGATTTGCTCTTGAAACCACTATTCTGAAGAATTACATTTCTAAGGTCAATAAACATGGAAGATAAAGCACACAGATTTCAGAGGAATACAAACTAAGCAAATGCCTGCAATAAATGTAAAAAACCTGTCCACTGAAACATCATTTAGTTAACAGTGTTTCTAAGCAGCAGTAACAGGGCTGCCTCTTGATTTGATTTAATCACACGGTCAAGGAATTTTAGAGTCACTTGCAGATAGCTGATTAACCATGAGATGATACTAAGATTAGGCCTGACATATATGTCTGCCTGTACCATACAGCAACAAGGAATTCTGTTTGTACTTGTAAAAATTAGGGATATTAACTATTTCCCTGGCTACCTCTTTTCCACCAGGCAGAAGCATCAGCAAATCCCATATGCTGAGTGGGAATTTGAGGGTGAAAACTAGTAATAGATCATATTGTACCTGCATTGAATGAACCATGTCTTTGGTGAAACGATAAGGATACAAGATATTATGAATTTTCACAGCCAGATTGTCCGCCTGACTGTTGGTCACATCAACAGCAATCTGTAAAAACAGAACCACAGATCAAGCAGGCTATAAAGGATATGGCAAAAAACTCAAATGCACACAAAACGTCCCCAACAAACCAGCCTTAAGAAAAAACGGAAATAACTCCATATTTTGACAAACCAAGGTTTTTACTCAAGAAAGCACTAACTAAAGATACCATCCAGCAATCCCTCCACTTCCATTCCCATATACTTTCCCATATGGACACTACCTACTAACTTCAATGCACTCCGCTGATTTCAAGTACCTACCAGAAAACCTGAAGTTAATTACCAGCCTACGTGAGCTCTCAACGGATTGCATTACAAAAGATGTATTACCCTGAAATGAGTCAGAGGACGCGTCACAGCAGCAGCTGAACAGAACTGTTCCTATTCAGAAACTCACCAGCAGGTGGTTTGCTACTCCGTCCCTATTGTTTGCAGGTGGAAGTGGTGACATACATATGTTTACACACACACAACATGACGATTAAAGATAATACTACCTCATGACAACAAAGGAAGTTTTTCTAAAAGCTCCAACATTGTTTCCCTCTCACATGCTATAATCCTGCCAGGCTATACAAACAACTATAGTAAAATACACTTTTAAGACCCATTGCATCTCAGAGAAGAAAGCTAGGTTATTTTAACTCTGTCCACAAAGAGGACAGACATTGTATTACAATTCTGCCATCCTTTAACTCTTAATTTTAAGATGACTATCTCTGTAGAGGGAAAGGGAGCTTATAATAATGTTTTGCTTTTGAAATGACATAAGGAAAAAGATTAGCCTGATACCTGCTTCTTTGACTTTGAGTAAATCCACAACAATAAAAGGATTTTATAGGTATGTGAGAGAAAAAAGGAAAACAAGAGAGAATGTGGGGCCTCTCCGGAAGGATACGGGTGACCTGGTTACTGAGGACATGGAGAAGGCTGAAATATTCAACAACTTTTTTGCCTCAGTCTTCACTGGCAACCACTTGAACCACACCACCCAAATCACAGAGGATGCTGGCTGGGTCTGGGAGAGTGAAGAACCACCCAGGGTAGGAGTAGATCAGGTCCGGGAACACCTAGAGAACCTGAAGGTGCACAAGTCCATGGGACCTGATGAGATACATGCACGGGTCCCGAAGGAACTGGCAGGTGAAGTTGCTAGGCCACTAGCCATCATATTTGAGAGGTCCTGGCAGTCTGGTAAGGTTCCTACAGATTGGAAAAGGTCAAACATAACCCTCATCTTTAAAAAGGGGACCAAGGACAACCTGGGAAACTACAGACCAGTCAGCCTTACCTCTGTGCCAGGTAAAATCATGGAACAGATTCTCCTGGTAGCTGTACCAAGGCACATAAAAAATAACCAAGTGGTTGGTGACAGCCAACACGGCTTCACTAGGGGCAAGTCGTGCCTGACTAATTTAGTGGCCTTCTACGACAAAGCTACAGCACTGGTTGACGTGGGTAAAGTAACGGATGTCGTTTTCCTGGACTT